CACACACACACACACACACACACACACACACACACACACACACACACCTCAGAACGTCCCAAACAGACTCTTGAGATATTATTTTTTTAGTTATTTTTTAGTTTCACGGAGGTGAAGAGTGCGAGGACACACACCGACTGATGTTTCCCTCACATCCTGGATGATGGACGTTAGGAGACTGTTTCTGTCAAAACTGTGTGCAAAGTCACAAAACGTTCATTTCTGTGTGAATCACGTCTTTATTCTCAACACAGCAGTTCCTCGTTTATCGGGTTAGGTTTTCGGATCGGATCAAAACTTTCCCTCCATTTCAGCAGAAGGCAACGGCTGGAAGCACTGTTGCTCCTGGGTGGGGCACTGTTGGCTTCTGGGAAATGTAGTCCTTTTGAGTGGCGATAATGTAGGCTTAGTGAGAGAAAGATACAAAATGGCTGCGCCTGTCCCAAGTTTTTTCGTTGACGTTTTACTGTATCCCGTACCGTCCCAATCACGTGTGTTCTTAAAGTTGACAGTCGTGTGTCGTGTACAGTCTTGGTTTGAAAAAGCGCGAGTCCGCAAAAGTCGAACCGCGAAGTAGCGAGGGACTGCTGCAAATCTGAGTTTGACAACAAGAGTATTACATAAAACTTTTCATAAACAAGCGACAGCGAGTTCTTTTCCACTCAAGGTCTGTCCAGATGTCGTGTTACATAAATACTTTTTATTCTGTAGAAGGCTGAGTGCTGCCTGCAGCAGATGATTAAACTTGAACCAGCTTTATCTGACCTGTTTGAGTAGAAACAAAAACATTTAACATTTTTATCAGCATGTTTCCTCTAAGGACAGGACTGTTGACGTTACGCGTTCTTTCTGCCTTTTATAAATTAAAAGCCACATGTTCGTGTCGGAGCAGGACGCCCACTTTGTGCGGACAAAGTTCATTCTCCTCGATCTTCATCCAAACTGCCTCCTGCAGCACAGTGTTGGTGCTGAAATCAGGTTCTCTTGGTGGTCGTCCGAGGAGCAGTGTTCAGTGAAATAAAGAGCACGAGGGAAAGGACAGGAAGCAGTTTTTGAATCCCGCCCTGTCTTCAGGGCTTCCAGTGAATCTGGAAATCAGGAAACAACCTGGAAAATGACTTTCACGTTTTCCAGACAGGGAAAACTCAGAATTTGAGAAAATTAAATTAAAAAATATCAGAGAACACTGAGGGACCGTGTGTAAATCTGCTACATGCAGCTTTTACTGGAAGTTTTGCGAGTTCCTTCTGGCTCAACTTGGTTGATGATTGTTTAAAAGTCGAGCACAATGAACTCAGGACGCTTTAGTGGAAACTTTGTTTTTTAGTTTGTATGTTGCTTCAAATGATCATTTCCCCACATGATTGAGGTGTCCTTTGTAGGGGCTGAAGATTAATCTACAGTGGACACGGCCACCATTGGCCACCCCCTGGCTCCGCCATTGCAACTGGTGGCGCTTTCTTCTTTCACCAGGATCCGTCACTCTGCGCCACCTTAGACAGAGAAAACTCCTACCTCCTCTTCTCCACAGTGTAACTCTTACCCACTTGAATATCTTGCAACAAAAACATTTAGGTTTCCCTGCTTTTAAGAAAAGCACTCGTCTAGAAAACTACAAACATTCACTATTCAGATCCTTTAGTGTTGGGGGACATCGACGTACCGCCTGTTTAAAAAATAACTACATAGTTGATGTTTTCCTCTTGCTTCTAGCACTGTTGCAGATCATGATGATGATGTTTGTGATGCATTTAATATTTAATTTTTGAAGGTTATTGCGTTAATATTTATGAAGCGTTCACACTATTGTGATCCATTTTTCTTCAGTACATTTTTCAGCATCTTTCTCGTTCCACAATTTTTGTGCTATTTCAACTAATCATCAATCAAAATGTTCAGGACAATCCTGCTATGACTTTTGGTATTGGTGCAACTTGTAGCTTTTTGAAATATTTAGCATTTTCTGCCATTTTTTTTTTCACACAGAAAATGAATTTAGCTCATTTGACATCCTTCAAATCTTTAGCTCTTTTTTTGAGTTGATGACCTGTGATGGGACTCGAGTGAATCGGCAGGTTTATTTAAGAACGTTTGGCTCAGTAAACATGTTTGTTGTTCCCTGTCTCCTCTCAGGCAGCAGCCAGGGCAGCCACACCAGCAAGTACTTCGGCAGCATCGACTCGTCGGAGAACGACCACTCCCGTAAGCAGCCGGCGGGGGGCAGCGGAAGGGGCGAGGAGCAGTTCATCAAGTGCGTCCTGCAGGACCCCATCTGGCTGCTGATGGCCAACACGGACGACAAGGTCATGATGACGTATCAACTTCCTGTCAGGTAAAGACCTGAGACGGTTTATAGAAAAACAAAGAGTATGTTTTTAATCTGATAGAAGTGCATGTGTTATCAATTAAAACTAAAACTAGGAAAGTGGGCGCGTAAAATTTAGCTTCAGGTGGTTCAGGTGGTTCAGATGGTTCAGATGGTTCAGATGGTTTGGGTGGTTCAGATGGTTCAGGTGGTTCAGATGATTCGGGTGGTTCAGGTGGGTCAGGTGGTTCAGATGGTTCAGATGGTTTGGGTGGTTCAGATGGTTCGGGTGGTTCAGGTGATTCAGGTTGTGATTCGGGAGATGTTAGTTTCTTCTTGTAGGGATTTATTTTAACTTTTAAAAATGTTTAATTTAGATATAAGACTTTTTTTATTTGTAGTCAAGAGGCCAAAACGCATCAATAAGAAACGTGATGTCGTTTGTCCCAAAGAATGTTTTCTAGATTTAAAATATTGATTGCTGACGAGAAGAAAGCCTTAGTAGATCACTGAAATGGTTTTTTTTGTTGTTTTGTTTATTTTGATAAAAGTTTCATTTATAGTCTCTGTAACCCATATCCAGTGTAAACAGTAAATGTTAAAACAGCCATTTAATCTATTTTTGGTGACTTTTAGAAATCTTAAGCTAGATTTTTACTAAAATAGTGTCAGGTGTGGGGTCCTTGAACATGTCTAACTAGTGTAAATGTTTTTGATTCTTTTGTTTTAAATCTATGTTCAAAAGAAGAAATGTCATTAATGATATTTAGAAGTTTGGTTTGATTATATGCTACAATGTCCTGCCATACTGGAATATTTGGGCACATTTGAACACTGATAGAAAGCGTCTTGACGTTGACCCTCCCGTCAATAACAGGGACATGGAGACAGTGCTGCAGGAGGACCGCGAGGCCTTGAGGAACCTGCAGAAGCACCAGCCTCGCTTCACGGATGATCAGAAGAAGGAGCTGAGCCAGGTCCATCCCTGGATCCGGACGGGCCGCCTGCCGCGAGCCATCAACATCCCCGTAAGCTCCGCGGCTAAACGCTACGGTACGTTTGAGCAACACCCCTCAGAAACCGAAAATAAACCTGGTTTGTGGTTTCAGGGCTGCGCGGGCTGCAAGTGTCCCCCTTCTGTGCCCCCCGCCACCCCGTTCGACGTGGAGATCCACGAAATGGAGCTGTGCACCGTGCTGAAAGCGCAGGAGGAGTGCACCGGTTCGGCCGAGAAAAACCTCACGGAGACGGCCATGGACGACGTTCAGCCGGAGGAGGAGGAGGAGGAGGCGCAAAAGGACGGTGAAGACACGAAGGCAGACAAGCAGAGCGCAATCTCAGAGACTGTCCAGGAAAAGACTTAAATTGAAAGAAAAACACGTACGTTCATCGCGACCTTTCTGCCGCTCCGCAGACAAACACTCACGTTCCAGGACTTTGAGCTCGGGACGCCAGCGTACGACCACCGAGCTCCGCCGGGACAAAAAGGTGCCGGTCCTCGCTCAACACACAGGACATTTGATTCGTCTGATTCCTAAAGACCAGCCGATATAAAAACACTCAGTTTTACAGAGTGATCTGGTCCTTTCTTCCCTCGACGCTGTTCATATTTATTGAACGTCACGTCGGAGGAGGACGCAGGTGAGCGTGTTGGACGAGCAGAAAGATGGACGGTCACCGGTGAAGACTTCTTATTGACTGTTTATGAGCTCTGCTCTCACTTCACTCTTGTAAAATACAATTAAATGTTTTTTTATAAATAATAAAAATCACATAAATAAGAAGCTACTTTTACATTTAAAAGAAAATGTGCAGTAAGAGTTAATTTTTTTAAAGCTTGATGTATTTTTTTATACTTTTATCCCCTAAAAAAAATGCCCCAAGAATGAATCTGCACTGTAAAATATGTACGTTAATTTAATGTTTTTTTTATATTATTATTTGAAAATGATGATACCGGGAACAGAAACTGTATTTTTGACACTGGAGTCCAGTTGTTTTAGTTGATGTACACTTTGCGTGGCACTTTGGCTATCACTGACCGGCACTTTAAATGTCTATTGAGCGGTGATCCGGTCAATAGCGGTGAAAACAAAAACCCAATCGAAAAATCATCACAGACTATATATTTTGTTTTTTTATTTAAGTTCGAGCTGTGGAGAGCATTTATGCTTGTGATTTAAAAACTGGACACTACTCCCTAAAAATAAAAAAGCCCTAAAAGTCTAGAAAACATTTCCTATTTTCATCCCCGTCACTCGTTTCCTCTGTGTGGCACTGATCCAGTCATGTGATACCCTCTGCTTCGTGGCGTCCACGACAGTTTAATATTTTTTGGTGAAGTTCTTTGTACAAAAAAAGATGACAATAAAATGCAAAACACAAAGCTTGATTGATTTATTTTTCCCAGCCCGGTTTTTCTGCGTGTCCTCGCAGTTTATTTTCGTTGGTGCGTGTTTTGCAGCAGTTGGCGTGAGTACACAGACGTGTCCAGAATAAACTGGAAGCAAAGAGCAGATGAGGCTGCTGCTTTCTTAACCCGACCACAGGCTCTGTGCTCAACTGTGGTTCGAACCCAAAGTGGTCGGGTGAAGCCTTAAAAAAACAAAGACATGTCCTTGTTTGGATGAACTCAAAGTTCAGTGCACATCATGACTCTAGTAACTATGGTAACAGGTGTAGATCAAATTGGATGGCTGTCAATCAAATTGCCTTAGTACACTGCCTGGCTAAAAAAAAAAGTTGCCACCTGGATTTAACTAAGCAAATAGGTACGAGCCTCCTATTAGATAATTACTGCATGGGTGATTATCTTTCAGCTGCAACAAGTTATTTAACCCCAACTGGTGCAATGAGTTGCTTCTCATTTCTTAAACAACCATGTTGAAAGACACATCGTGTGGTCGTGGAAAAGATGTCAGTCTGTTTGAGAAGGGTCAAATCATTGGCATCAAGCAGAGAAAACATCTAAGGAGATTACAGAAACTACTAAAATTGGTTAACTGTCCAACGCATTATTAAAAACTGTAAGGATAGTGGGGACCCATCGTCTTCAAGGAAGAAATGTGACTGGAAAAAAATCCTGAATGATCGTGATCGGTGATCAAACGTTTGGTGAAATCATATCGAAGACAACAGTAGCGCTCAGGGCTGTGTTTAACGGTGAAAGTAAGAGCATTTCCACATGGACAATGTGAAGGGAACTCAAGGAATTAGGACTGAACAGCTTTTAAAAAACCACTAATTCAAATTCAAAAATACTTTATTAATCCCAGAGGGAAATTATTTGTTGATGTAACTCGTTATCCTCATTTCATTAAGAGATGTTATAGATGCTGATGGCTGTAGGCAGGAAGGATCTCTTGTAAAGGTCCATCCCACAGTGGATCCTAAGAAACTGGCTGCAGATGCCGTCCGATCCGTCCACCCAGACTCGGCTGGACTCTCGGTTCCCCTCGGGCTGTAGGACCACCTGAATGCCAGGCAGAACTCCTCCCAGAGCGATGGCCACTCCTCCCAGCAGTCTGCCGAGCTCCTCGTCGCTGCGGACAGCCAACTGTAGGTGCCGAGGGACGATCCTGTCCTTCCGCTGTCATGAGCCGTGTTTCCTGCTAGTTCCAGGATCTCAGTGGTCAGGCACTCGAGCACAGCTGGCAGGTAGATGAGAATGCGTCCACAGAACATCCTTTTAACTCATTTGAGATTTGGGGCTGTAGTTGAGATATTATTTGAGCTTTTGAGCTGCTGTTGGTTGCAGAAAGCTGCCTTGTTGCCATGGTTACGCATCATAACAAATGTCCAAAACTACAAAAGTTTCAGTAAAAATCCTTCCAGCTGCACAGCGTCTGATACCAGAGGAAACAATCATCCAAAAAATGTGATTTACATCCAGAAAAAGAGGAATTAAAGTTTCCAAAAGCAAAATAGAATGAAAGTAACAGAGCTGCTCCAACATGCAGCCACCTGGAGCGGCGCAATTCTAGAACAATTCTACAATTGGAACAATACAATACAATACAACAACAACAACAGAACAACAAAAAGAACAATACAACAATTCTAGAATTAGTGAGGCTAACCAAAAAAAGGCTTCAATTTGCTCGAGAGCATAAAGATTGGACTCTGGAGCAATGGAAGGAGGTCATGTGGTCTGATGAGTCCAGATTTAACCTGGTCCAGTGATGGGCGCATCAGGGTAAGGAGAGGCAGGTGAAGTGATGCACCCATCATGCCTAGTGCCTACTGTACGAGCCTGTGGGGGCAGTGATGTGGGGTTGCTGCAGTTGGTCAGGTCTTGGTTCAGCAACAGTATGTTTCAAAGAATGAGGTCAGCTGACTACCTGAATATACTGAATGACCAGGTTATTCCATCAATGGATTTTTTTCTTCCCTGACGGCACGGACATATTCCAAGATGACAATGCCCAAGATGACAATGCCAGGATTCATTAGGCTCGATTTGTGAGTGGTTCTGGGAGCATGAGACATAATTTTCACATGGATTGGCCACCACAGAGTTCAGACCTTAACCCATTGGGAATCTTTGGGATGTGTTGGAGAAGGCTTTGTGCAGTGGTCAGAATCTGCCATCATCAATGCAAGATCTTGGTGGAAAAATTAACGCAACACTGGATGGAAATAGATCTTATGACATTGCAGAAGCTTATCGAAACAATGCCACAGTGAATGCATGCTGTAATCAAAGCTGAAGGCGGTCCATCAAAATATTAGTGTGATCATTTTTTTTCTTTGGTGGCAACTTTTTTTTTGGCCAGGCAGTGTATTATTATTACTAAACCTTTACCATGAAAAATCCCTTTGAGATTAAAAACCTATTTTTCAAGGTAGTCCTGTCCAAGATGGGCGGTAGCAAGTACCCAGGGGAGGCCACGCCTAGTCTGTGTGGCAGGAGTGCCCAATACGTTGCTGTCAATCTACCAGTTGATCACAGAGGTATTATGGTTAGATCGCAGGGCATAAAAAAAAAATAGACGTCAGCCTATTATCCATTCTCAATATGAAATTTGTTACTTGACTGACATACAGGGCAGCCAGTCACAGCCCTCGTTCTCTCAAACCAGGTCTCAGAGTGGAGGTTTTCTGGGGAAAAAAAACTCCAACTGGAGTTTTTGGTAGTGCACAGCAAAACTCGACCGTGTGAAATTCTCCGGGTGTGAAATGGCACGTGCGCACTTACAGGCGGCTGCAGTCCGAAGTTTTTCTGCACTAACAGCAGTTATAATAAATGGCAAAGAGCAGTGTTTTTGTGCTGCTCACCCTTTTTCAACACGTAGGAGCAAAACAAATAAAATCCAGTTCCAAAGAGACGTTAGTTTATTCATTAGTTTGGATGTAACTGTGATCATGCAGACGCTGCATGCACAGCGCTTTGAGTGTCTTGAAATAAGATAGAAAGGCGCTATATAAGTACAGTCCATTTTACAATTTACAATGAATGCAGCTGAGCTGGCATCAGGGTTGCCAGATAAATTTAAAATGTCTTATTTATCCCCTCCTTTTCTGTGCACATGTTCAACACACACCTCATCTTAGAACATCTTTACTCAACACATGATATTAAAATGCTATCATTTTAAAACCACATAATTTTTCATTTAAACCCACTCATTTTCTGTTTATTACCCCAATAAACATTAACAAAAAACTCTAATGCGAAGGTGCTGCTTATGACTCAGTTGTAGCAGTTCCTCAGGCTGAAGAAGTCTTTTTGGATAAAAGACAAAACATTTCAACAAAGAAGAATCCTTCCAGAGGACCTGACTTAACCTTGTTAGATTCATCTACCTGGATTATTGAGCACCAGGACCTTAGGTTATGTGGCTACACATTAAATTACAAACACAATTCAACCAGCATTTCAGCTCATTCTGTTCATGTCTGTTATATTTCTGCTGTTTTTTGTCCTGCTTTCAGCAAATGTCAGCAGTTCAATTTGAACTCGCATCAACAGTTTAGCGATGAAACTTTTTCAGCAGCTTTCAGCTTCTTCAGCACTCGCCAGGGGTGATTCTAGAATATGACCTTTAGGGGTGCTTAGCCCCCAGTGCTGACAATGGCTCTTGGCTTGAACAACATGGTGGCCATTGGTGTCAGAAACATTCATAATGTGGGGGGGACACACTGGTGGGGAGGCGTTGGAGATCCTCCCCCAGAAAATTTTGAATAAAGTAGATGCTATTTCCTTCATTCTGGTGTATTTTAACTGGTTCTTTAACATCCATGTTTACCTACACAAGTAAACACTTGATTCAATTTAGAGAGCACGGCATGACAAGAAGTAGCGCTAAGCTAGCAGCGTGCAATACAGACGCGCTAGCTAACATGCTACAGATGTAGCGCTCTGCTTTACATTACACAACCTGAGAAATGCTTTGTACAGAATCAGTTTAGTGTTAAATGATCATAACGAAGACTAAACGTATACAAACAGAAGTTTCAACATATATCTACATTTAAAACGCATAAAACAAAACACAACTAGCTTTAAGCGTTAACCTTTGATTTAACTGCATACAATGTGATTATGACAGAAAATGGAGGATTTACTTGCAGTTACCTTTGTACAGACAAACATGTGGTACTTCCTGGTTATCACTGTTGTATTCAGCTGCTCATGAGGTCGGCCGCAGGGCTTTATACATCTTTTACATTTTTCCAGACTCAGTTTAAGTTTTGGAAATGGAATAAACTGTATTCCACCCTCTAGATCAGGGCTATTCAACCAAACTGCTCAGGGGGCACAGTTACTGAGAGCCAGCAGCTCAGGGGCCGGACATCCAGCGATTAAAATCATTATGTAAATAAACCAAGTATTATAATAATCTTTTACTGTTTATTTTGTTGCATTGAATCATAAATACAATAAACAGAACCCAAACCCAGAACAATTTATTTTTCACTTTATTTTTCAGGGGTGCCGAGTTAAAATTTAGGGGTGCTTGAGCACCCACAAAAAGAGGCTAAAATCGCCACTGGCTATTGCACTGGATTTTCACAGGAAATGACATTTCTCCACTTTCCTCTCCCCTCCCTTTTGCAAACTTTAACATCTCTCCACGCCTCTACCCAATTTTCTCCCTCCTTCGTCCTGCTCCTCCTCGTCCTCCTTATCCCATCTTTCTGGATCTAGGAGGCCTACGGGATGGAGGACCGTGTGTGGACTGTGAGCCTTCTTATAATTTCTTTAACTTTTGGACAGTCTGATGCTCAGAGTCAGACTAACAGCTCTAACTCAAGGTAAGGTGCGTCAGAAAGTTTCCTTGCATGTGCACGTGGAGAGCCATTTTTAGGTCTAGCTATGAGTGTGTCCTCTCCTGATTGCTGTATTTCAGTCACCTAAAGTGCAGCAGAAATAGAAGGGTTCAGTGTTACTGAGACGTGGTCGGCATCCCATAAACACGGAGACACGCTGACGACACCAAATGACACTTTGCTGGAACTGAAGTAGTGATTAAACTGAACAGGCTTACAGTAGCTGCTTGTGGAAAAAGAAAAACATGAGATTCTGCTCAGTTTTTACACATAATCCACATCTTTGTGAGCTCAGTTTAATACCCCCCTCCCTCCCCCCAAGTTGTTTATTGAACGCTCAGCGTGCACGGCCTTCCACACACACAGGGTGTAAACTGAACACGAGAAACAAACAAATACCTGTGGCCTGCTCAACGCCAGAGGCTCTGAAGGGAGGGACTCAACCGCCGGGACGTTCCAGCCAAATGTGGCCGGACGAGGACCGCAACGGACATGAGACACTTGCCTGAAGAAACTCCTAACGAGACGATCACTTCAGGAAAAACGCAAGAAGACTTAAAAGCTGGAGGTCTGAACAGATTCTGCAGCAAAATGAAAAGCTGAAGCTGCTTTGATGTGTGTTTATCTGAAAGTGGCTGCAGCCTCTCATGGTGCCCATTAGATGCAGTTAGGAGTGCCTCCTGGCACAGACTGGGTGATGGCCCAGTGCTCTAAAACCCCCCAAAAAAACTCACTTTCTCCTCATAGGATAGCTACCCTTGATGAACACAGACTGCCACTGTAGCTTTCTGTGTAGGTATCTACAGTATGTACCGTACGCATATATCTATAGTTATAGGTATGTATTTATGTATCTATCTATCTATGTATTTATGTATCTATAGGTATAGGTATAGACATAGGTATGTATACTATTTATGCATCTATGTATTTATGCATCTATGTATCTGTAGGTATAGGTATAGATATAGGTATGTATTTATGTATCTATAGGTACAGGTATGTATTTTTGTATCTATGGGTTTATGTATCTATGTATCTATGTATTTATATATCTATAGGTATAGGTATATATTTATGTATTTATGATTCATGTATCTATAGGTATGCATTTATGTATCTATGTATTTATGTATCTACGTATTTATGTATCTATAGGTATAGTTCATTCATTCATTCAGTCTTTATTTAAACAGGTTAGTCCCATTTAGCCACGAGGACTCATTTATAAGAGAGACCTGGATGTATTTATGTATCTATAGGTATAGGTATGTATAGGTAGGCATTTATGTATCTATAGGTATAGGTATGTATAGGTATGTATTTACGTATCTATAGGTATCAGAGTCAGAGTATCTTTATTGTCATTCGCACCTCATGTGGTACATGTGGTGGAGCGAAATTATGTACACAGGGTCCCAGTTACATCCAACAATCAAATGTAAAAGAAAAACAGTAATAACATCTAAGATATGAACTAAGAAAAACATAAACTAAATATACACTAAGCACTCATAACATAAAAACATTACGTCGAACATCAGCACAACCATGAACATGAGTCTGTGTGAGCAGATGAGCACGCATGAACACATCATCATTGAAACAGATCAGCAGCAACATGAAACAGATCAGCAGCATGAAACAGATCAGCAGCAACATGATGTGATTTTTTTCACAGTGATTGTTCTGGTGAGAGATTCATGAGTCTAACAGCCTCAGGGTAGAAGCTGTTCCTCAGTCTAGTGGTTCTACACTTAATGCTCCTCAACCTCCTTCCTGAGGGGAGTGGGGCAAAAAGTGTGTGTGCTGGGTGAGTGGGGTTCTTCATGATGCAGGTGGCCCTCTTCCTGCATCTAGAGTTGTAGATGTCTGTGATGGTGGGGAGACTGTCTCCGACAGACTTCTGTGCAGCCTTCACCACTCTCTGCAAAGCTTTTCTTTCTGCAGCTGTGCAGCCTCCATGCCACACGTTGATGCTGGAGCACAGGATGCTCTCCACTGCACACCTGTAGAAGGAGGTGAGGACTGAGCTTCCCAGACCAGCTCGTCTCAGCCGTCTGAGGAAGTAGAGTCTCTGATGAGCTTTCTTGATCAGGCTGGTGGTGTTGTTGCTCCAGCTGAGGTTGTCATTCATGTGTACACCCAAGTACTTGTAGCTGGAGACCACTTCCACTGCAGATCCTCTTATGTTCAGGGGGGTGTAGGTGTTTTGTTCCTTCTGAAGTCCACAATCATCTCCTTTGTCTTCTTCACATTGATGTGAAAGTTATTCTCTTTGCACCAGCTCTCCAGATGTTTCACCTCTTGCCTGTAGCTGGACTCATCATTGTTTGTGATGCATCTCACCACCGCTGTATCATCTGCAAACTTTACAATGTGACAGCCTGGATGGGTAGCTGCCCAATCATACATGAGCAGAGTAAACAGGAGGGGGCTCAACACACATCCCTGAGGAGAGCCGGTGCTGAGGGTTATGGTGGAGGAAGAGAAGTTGTGGATCCTCACTAACTGTGGTCTGTTTGATAAGAAGTCTAGTACCCAGTTGCAAATGGAGGGGCTTAGTCCTAGTGTGGATAGTTTGTCCATCAGGGTTTGGGGGATCATGGTGTTGAAGGCGGATGTGAAGTCCACAAAGAGCATACGGACGTAAGAGTTTTTCTGCTCCAGGTGGTTGAGCGCAGTGTGGACCATAGAGGAGATGGCATCCTCTGTTGATCGGTTCTCACGGTATGCATACTGATGAGGGTCCTCGTTGATGTTGATGGTTGTTTTGATGTGAGTCATGACCAGTTTTTCGAAGCATTTAATGACTATCAGGGTGAGGGCCACTGGCCGATAGTCATTCAGACCAGTCACTGTAGAGCTTTTTGGGACTGCGATGATGGTGGCAGTCTTCAGGCAGGTGGGAACTGTCTCCAGGGTAAGTGAGGTGTTAAAGATGTCTGCCAGCACCTCGCAGAGCTGATCGGCACATTCTTTCTACACTTTTCCGGGGATGTTGTCTGGGCCAGTTGCTTTGTGCGGATTAATCCTCCTGAAAGTACTCCTTACTTCGGCTGAGGTCACGCTGAGATGCTCTTCATCCAGTGGTGAGGTGAGTCTGGTGCTGGGTGGTCTGTTCGGGTCTTCAAAGCATGCATAGAACTTGTTGAGGGCATCAGGCAGAGATGGGTCTTTGGGGCATTGTTCACTCCTTCCTTTATAATCTGTTATGCACTTAAGGCCCCACCACATGCTCCGAGGGTCTTGTGAGATGAAGACCCTCAGAGCATGTTTAGGTACCGTTATGTATTTATGTACAATATCTATAGATACCAGTATGCATTTATATATCAATAGGTATAGGTATGCATTTATGTATCTATAGGTATACTGTAGGTATGTATTTATGTATCTATGTATTTAAGTATCTATAGGTACATGTATGTATTTATGTATATATGTATTTATGTATCTATAGGTACCGGTATGTATTTATAGGTACCGGTATGCATTTATGTATCTATAGGTGTAGGCATGTATT